ATTTATGTTTAGGACGATTTCACTGCATCTCAACATGATGCATACTGCAGAAAATGCAATGTTCATATAGAGCTTTAGCATGGCAACAGCTAGGATACCAACACCTCCGACAAAAGAACGTCTGCCTCTGTGCGCAAACTCTAATCTGATCTACCAATTTCAGTGTGTTTGCGGAGCGAACAGAGAGACAATTACGCAATCAGGTGGTGGAATATATTCTGAATTGGGTCCAGAATCAGCTGTCACAATCGCGGTCCAGTCCACTGCATGGAAACGACGATTGAAACTATAAGATGCCGTCCATAACCGTTGCTCGACATCTTCTGATGACGGAACACCAGATCGATGGGAGTACGACATTTTGGATAGTCTACAGGTTACAAGTTACGAGATTGTTAGGGTTAGCTGAACCGATTACTATTGATCGATTGAACAAAAAGAACTTTATGATAGCTTATCCTTACCCAGGTGGCATGTCCTTTTACCCCTTCCCCTTTGTTTTATCCTATTTTACTTTACTTTTTTGACATGCTCAAGCCCTATACAAGCATTGCACTTTCTGTAGTATGCACCATGTTGAGATGCAGTAAAATCTTCCTGAACATAAATATATATGTATACAAATATATATGAATATGTGATATGGTCTTTTCTTTTGCAAAGTGACCTGTTTCGCGTTTCAGTTCTCATATCACATTGATGTGATCATGTGTCAGCCTTATTGTGTTAATAAAAGAGGAAAACACGGGCAACCATGTTTCACATAATGATGACGTTTAAATTGTCATTATGTATTACATGATCGCACAGACACTTCGGTAATCAGGTTGTGACCTATCAAAATCTGCCTCGGGCAGATGGTGGTGGAGTTTGAACATCATTTGGCACTTCGGATGATGTGATCACAAAATAAGCCACTTCGACTTCCCCGTTCACATGAAAGGATGAAACGTACGCCAAAATCAATCACAGAATTTGTTAACAGTTTTGGAACTTAAATCTCTTTTCTTCACTGTTATTTTCATTTTCTCCTTTGCTCCAAACTGCATATTTTTTAACTGAAATGTGGGCTTCATGCTTGCAGAAGTTATTACAATACAATACAATAGAACGGCCACTAGAGTTGTGTGTATCTGTGTGTGTGTGTGTGTGTGTGTGTGTGTGTAGGTGTGTGCGTGCGTGCGTGTGGGTGGGTGGGTGTGAATCCCGCCGGACTAGCGCGTGAGATGAGAGTGAGTGAATAGTCACTCTCGCTTTGTGTGACTGCATGCTGCTCACATTCCAATGGAATTCCAATGGAGAAAGCAAATTCTCTCACAGGCTTCACAGACTGACAACTACCTTGGATAACGAAAGGAAGCCTACTAATTTTAACTACCTCACCTATCGGAGGATGTGAATCAACTAGTACTGGATCCCATGGAAAAGTCAATCAATTTGGATGACGATTAACTGTGAAGTGTTTGTTTTAGTCCCAACAGGTCAAGTCGATCGCAGACTAAGGTCAAACACGTGACTAACGATAAAACGATGATGGTGAGAAAATCGATTATCGAATGGACTGTGTGAGCGGATGAAAATGTGAGTAGATGAAGCAATCGTGTAGAATAAAACTGAGCACGTACCCCCCATCCCCAGATCAGATCAGATCAGATCAGATCAGATCACTTAGACTGCCTCTTACCAAACCAGGAAGACTGTAGACATCATTTTGGTGTAAAATACATTATATCGATTTAGACTGGCAATCCTTCCGATTTCCTCGTTATGCACAATCACACACACACACACACACACACACACATGCACACAGGGAGCACGGCAGAGTCCAGTTTTCATTCAGCTGAAGCCTATCAGTAGCACATATCACCGTACCGACTGGGAGTTGAACTCGGAGTGAGGGGAGAGGGCAACGCACGTGCGGGGCGTGTATTAGTATTGTGCCAAACAGTTCACAACAGGACAAACCAGAATAAACAATGCAATTCAATGCTTTTTGCCTCAGTTAATGACGGCCAATCAGTTCATTTGTAGCCCGACAGTAACTAAAAGCACATTGGATGAACTAAGAGTGAACTGTGAATGCACCATTGATAGTTTAGACTTCCATTTTTTTATTACTCATCAGGGTGCGATGAAGAGTAGACGGGACGGACCCCATAGTCACGAAAACCTGCTGTTCAGTGATGGTACCCGGGAATCTAAGCCCCGCGGAGCTTGAAGTGGCGAACCACATAAGGCCCCACTAGGTCAGGCGTGGTAAGCAACCGGACGACAGCAAAGCTGCCTAGCACCAAAGTTGGGCGGTGGTGGTGGGGTTCGAACCTCGGAACACAGGGTCCAAAGCACGCCGATGACAGCGACTAAACCACTGCGCCATCGCCACTTAGTTGAAATTGGAGTATCAGAGGAAAAGTTGGAGTACGAAACCCTAATACGTGTATCCGTCGCTCCAAGGGAGGCAACCACCAGATCAGCAAATTATCTTTGATTCTGCAACCAACTGATCAAGTCAAAGAATAATAAAAATAGGTAATGGCCATTGCCACGTTGAGGCTTTTTGAACGCTCATCAAATAGTGCGTACTGACGAATTGGTTTACTCGAGGTCCTCGATGTACTCGAGGTTCAGTGCTCTGAGTGAGTGTCCTAAACAGCGATGCACGTGCACTTACGCAATATCTTTACAACCTCAGCCCACCTGAACTCTCTATTTTCACCGTGATACTGCTTGCGTCATGGTTAATGAGTGTATAAACTGAAACCGAAGATTCATTGATATAAAATTCCCTAACTTATTATTAGTTTGGAAGGAAACGTGGATGAGCGAAAATGAGGAGACACAAAACAACGGCAATTGTCAAATTTCTTGTCAACCCCGCTGAATACGGCTACAAAGATCCACAAGAAGGAATTTAGTCTAAAAAAGACGATTGTGGATCGGAAAACCAGTGGAACGAGGTTGAAACCAAGGCTGTATCTAGATGTGTGTCAGAATCTGGTACAGAAAAGGATGAGAAAAGTGTCAGTTAACTGAGAATCACGCAGTGAGCAAATTATGTGGCACACGGAATGAGGAAGTGATTTTCAGCGATGGTAAAGTTCTATTTCCATGGTTTAGACGGTAGAGCATACTGTTGGCTCGATGTTAGGAAGGAATTTAAGTATTAGATGATCATCACAATCGTGGCTGATCCATACTGATATGGCGCAAAATCACGGTTGGCAGTCCTGAGAAGCGCAACCAGTATTAGTTTACTCCGGCCCCCCGTAAAGTGCACAACAATAAAAACGAGTCAATTTACACATTCGGCTTCTCCAAATAGTTGATGCTATTCGTTGCCATCCCAACACTTCACTTAACTATGATTGGCTACTTCGGGAAGATAAACTAATGCTATGATGGTATCCTATCAGTGATGCCAATGCTTGGTAACTGGTCTCAATGTCCTATACATTTCCATCCCAGTCGTTTTTTCATCGATGAGTGTTGTTCATTATCGGAAGGCCGAATGGAATACTGTTTCCAGCCAGGTTTTTATTTGCCTCCGACCTCAGTGGTATAGAGACAGTGCCAAAACGATTTTGGCAAGAGTGGTATCGTGCTTACGAAAATATTTCAACCACTGTGATCGGTGTAATTGTATGCACGTTAAAATACAGGTGATGAGGCAGTGGTTATTTAAGAATTTTACTAATTTACTAGTTTACATTCAAGATGACTATGAGGCNATCGATTAGTATCTTCGGCTCGTAATGGTCACGTTTTAGTCGTACAGATAGATCAGGCAGCCTGGTGTGGAAAACACCTTGAGCTGGGTCCCGAGACGGATTTCGTTGCGGCGCCAGAGGGTAGTTCGGAGCTGAAAACGTGTCCTTCGGGTTGTATCCATGCCATATGCATGCACTCCTCTTTGTGGTAGAGCGGTCCAGCACAAGTCGGGTGAACGGTTTCGCAACAGGCTGTTGTCTCAGTGATGCTAACAGATCATCTTATCGCTTGGCTTGGAGACGAGAATTGACATGGTCCGATCTAGTGGGCATATTTGGGTCTCCTAAATCGGGTGAAATAGGACACCAGGCAGCTTGACCACTTACGCAAGATAATTCCCGCTCAGTTCTACCGTGATTCTGCTTTTACCGGGAGGGGGCTTGTCAAATTCTAGGTGGTCGATAACATCAGTTGTTTTCTCTTGGGTCGAGATTGTATGAGGAGGTCGAACTTAGAAGAACATCAGCCAGCCTGTTAAGTGGATGACTAGGGTGAATACAATGCTCTATTAATATGGTTGTCTTGCTATCGATATTAAGAAGCCCACCTGGAGAATCGCACCGGAAAGGTTTCATGGGCTACCTTCTATCAGACGCTGACGGGGTGAGGTGAAAGAATTTTCCTAAGTGATGAATGGGCCATGGTTTGCATGTTTGTCGCTATATGTTTACGGTACTCGAGAAAATCTGTGTGGAATGAGTTACTCCGCGTCCGAGTAGATTTTCACGAAAATCAGATTAAAGGGTGTCTCTGACCATAATCGAGAAACGGTTTGTTTATCTATTTATTTTATTCTAATACCCAGCGCTTATTATTATTATTTCAACACGTAACCAATCACAAAGAACCGGCAGACGTGTCACAATATATGAACAAAAAAATATGAAGAATGTGTTCATAGGCTGTGTGGGTATGTTACTTCCCGGTTACGCTAAACGAGGAAGGAGGATAACCTCGGGGTCCCCATCCGAAGCCTTTGGCTAGAAAGCCAGACCTGCAAGATAACAGAACGGAGCCCAGAGACCGCAGTCCATTGGGGGCCGTTGTACAATTCATTGAATCATACGCCCTTTGGACGGGGTCAAAAGTTCAAGGTGCCCTTGATACCCAATCAAGCCGGCGACCACTGCCACAGCGAGGGACGTGTGTGACTGTGGTTCATGCGCCTCTTCTTGGTTGGTTTGGAATCAGGGCTTTTAGCCAACTTTCCTGGGTGAACTGTCAATGGTTCACCAACCTGGTAACAGCCTCGGATGTTGGCTTTTCTTCCTCGCCCTTCGGTGCAAAAACGCCTCCGACACGGAATGGCAGTGAGCAGGGCTTCCTAAGCAGAGGTTATTTGAGACGCTTGGTCATATAGAAGCATTTCTCGAGGTGCAAGGGAGCGGTGACCAGTCACAGCCCGAGACATTTACCTCCACCACACTGAGGCTTTCAGAGGCTTCGTGGCTCTTAATCTGTCTGATGCATAATGGTGCATTGCACCTTCCACTTGGACCACTGAATTTCGATCGAGAATGTTACATTGCAGGGCGGGATAGACTAGTTTTTCAGTTTGATTTCCTATCTCATTCATCAGTGCTTGCGAGTCATCAGTCGAAGACGAAGTCTCGCACACATGTAAGACACTTTTGTAACCAGCTTCAGTACCGTGTTATCATTCACCATCTTTTGCTGACGCGATCTTACGCGATCGAATCAGTGCAAAGCCAGTTTCATGAGAAGCTCTTTTACCGTTAGAATACCATATGGATAAATATTTCCTATGGTAATGAAAACGTGATTGTCATATATAACCGGTATGTGACGTGGAAATCACTACCATCATCGTACAGCGAGATGGAGCGAACTTCAGTGATCACTGACACGGAAAGAAAAAACTACTTACCCATCGGGCCAAAGTTATTTACGAGGGCTTCAACGAATCCAGTGATGTATAGAGCAGAACAGCAAACCTGGCCGAAGTAAAACACTGTGCCGATGGCTCCACCGAATTCCGGTCCCAAGGTTCGACTCAGCATGACTGTGGACCCCATTAAGGAAAGAACGGTCACATGTGTCTACGGAAGGGTTGGTGGATTCAACTCTCCTTTAAGCAATAAATAATGAGAGAGAAAAATACCACGAAGAGGAGCTGACTTCGTTGAATGTTAAAGTCATGTCATAGCCAGGTGCATTTTTACTAGAACGGAAAAATAACGATCCCAATCATGGACATGTAAGGTTTTTGATTGCTCTGTAGTGTCTGCAGAAGACAACGAATATACCAATTTGTGCACACCGCTAGACAAATTGATTCCAGTAGGCCTAACTGGTGCAAAAACCTGTGTTTGGCTTACTGAGAGCATTTAACCGAAAAATCATCTCCAGAGAAAATTAGGGTGACTCCCGTCCCGGAAATGGGATCCTTCTCATTAAAGATGGTCCGGGAACACCATCACTGATTCCAGAAGCCAGACACGGTCTTTTTTATGGATATCCGCGCCACTTTCGATCATCTAGACAAAGAACTGATGCGATCAAAACTACTACAAGTCAGCATGTGAACAAAGCTTATAAAACTACTGTCATTACGATGTTCGACATCCTGGGTTTGAATCCATGCTCGGAGGAAGGAACAAAAGACATTCAGAATGAAATCTGAAGTTTGGAAGGGAAGTACACTTTCACGCGTAATGTTTAATTAAATCATCTACTGATAAATGAAACGAGTTTTCGAAGACTGCCATAGAGTGCTGGTAAAACCAAATGTATGATTTTCCTACCTTGAGTGCTCACACACCACTACAAAGACATCTATTTAAAACTCAGTTAGATTGAAGTCGCAGAAGGAATGAGAACAAGCAGCCACATAGCTGAGTAAAGTTAGTCTAACTCAGTGATAAAGTGATAAAAGTGGTTACATATTGCGCGTGTTCTTTAGGTCTTCCACGTGACCAATCTCTGAGTCACTGTATTGCCGCATCGTCCTACTAGTCTCAAGTCATCGCGCATGAGCGACCATTATCATAGACATCCCTGAGTTCAATTTCATCTCACGTAGAACCAGGTCGTTTAGGAGTGAAAGCATTCGAAAATGCCCATTCTACAAACTTGTCTTTCAATGTTTCAATTGTGACCCGGAAGTCCCGGGTTCGAGCCGCTCCGTCGCCGCCCGTCTTCCCTATTTCTGTATTTTTCCCAGGCAGCCTTTGTATGGCAGCAGCCCTCTTCCTGAAAGTTGACTGTACACTTGTATATTCAATAAATAGAGAGGAAGTAAAAAGACGTTTTTCATGTTTACACAGCTGCACTATTAGTGAACATGACCTCGTACATACTGGCTTTATCTGGACCGTTCGTCCCCCAGGGATTGATTTGACCAGTGAGATTTCCGCTAATGTACCATCAGTAATGAACCCATCAGCGATGAACTGGCGGGGGAAGAGGAAATTTCTTTTAGAATAACGGAGTTCTATGCTAACTACTTCCGAGGAGAAGCAGTAGTAATTATAGCACGGCACAACACTGTTTTGTACTGAGGCCTTGTTACACTTCTGGTGGTCGGTAGGTGGGTAAAATTCAAAATCCATCATTCTGCGGTTCGAGTTTCGTGGAGCTTAGTGATCATGCACTGCTAAAACATTTTGGCGCGATGGGATAAAGAATAGTAGAATTGTCTCCCTGTTATACAATAACGGGCAAACTTCATAATTATCAAGAACTTAATCGGCCCACTTTAAGACACGGCAGACCTATTGTGATAACTACGAATCAAAACAATACCTAGCTGTTTCACTCCAACCTGATACCCAGTGTCCCACAAGCCATACCAACCAATGGTTCCTATATGTTCTCTTTCTGGCCTAAGGTTACCTTTTCAGAGTGACTAAATTATGAAATGCTTTCTCACTTCCGACAGTCTTCAAGTTCTAAGCATATGATTACCAAACGGAATTTGACGCGAGTGTTCCACATTTTTCAATTATTACACGCTTTAGTGTGATGAACAGCAGACGGAGTAAACCCCATAGTCACGGGGACCTCCTTCTCAATGATGGAAACCGGTAACCTAACACCGGGAACTTGGAGTGGTGGACGACATGAGGCCTCACTAGGTTAGGCGTGGTATTGAACCGGACGACAGCAAAACTGACTACCACCAAAGTTGAGTGGCGGTGGCGGAGTTCAAACCTAGGTGACCGCGATTGTGCAACCACCGCTTTTGTGCAGTTAGTATTTAGGCGCGACGCATCCCGTCCGTAATCCGTAATCCATGAAGTGCAAAACCAGTAAAACGTGTTCCTCAGATTCAGCCGGATAGTGAGTTCAGAACGTTATTCAGATTGGATTCTAACATCCTGCAAATTTTTACCAACAAAAAACACGTAAAATCGTTTGCGAAAACCAACTTATTCAAACGTTTTACCATCCGGCACAAATTAAGTTAATGAATGAATGGATCGATGGATGAATGAATGAATGAAACGAATAATTGAAAACCAGACTGACCAAATCATAAACAAAGGATACAATACACCCCACCGCCTTCAATAGCTCCGTTGGTGCTGATTGCGCATATGGATAAAACGGTCAGAAGGAGAATACCGTAGGCCATAAAAAACTGCAATATACATTCCAACAGGCCAGATTGTCCGATAATAAATCCCAGACGTAGAAAAATCACACTGCTGAATTGGGACAGTGTGACGGAACAGAACACGCCACCGAAAGTGCCCAAGTTCCGACGGGAAGGGGTCGGTTTTGAATGGCGTTCTTTGCGATCCGTCTCATTCATGGCCATCAGGTTAATCAAAACTGGGTGAAGAAGATGAACGAGAAAGAAAAGTTTCTTATGATCGAACAAACTCAAGATCTTAAAATCTGCATTGCATAGCATTGTGCTAAACGCTACGAATGCACGGTTACGAGAAAGTGTATGGTTTGTATTTTTTGTTTCCTTCCGATGTCCAAATCTGTGCAACCACCAGGTGCGCAGATCTGGATGTAATACATTCCATTCATCCATGACAATTAAGTGTTTGCGTCAGTGTGAGACCCCCGAAAACCTCCCATACGACCAAGCGTCTCGAATAGCCTCTGCTGAGGAAGTCCTACTCACTGCCTTCCCGTGGCGGGGGTGTATCCCCACCAAATCGAGAGGACGAAAAGTCGACATCCGGGGCTATAACTCGGTTGGTGGACCACTGGTAGTTCACCTAGGGCAGTTGGCCAAAAACCCTGATTCCAAACCAACCAAGAAGAGGCGTATGAGCAACACCCACACCTTTCCGGTTATGGCAGTGGTCACCGGCTCAATTGCGCACCTTGGACATTTGACCCCGTCTGAAAGACGTATGATCCGATGAACTGGATACCGGGTCCCAATGGATTGCGGTTTTCACGCCGCCCCGCTGCCTTTCGGGTCAGACTTTGGCGAGCCAAAGGCTCCGATTGTGAATTTCTCAAGAAAATTCACCAACCTTGGCCTGGGCAACCTGGCAGTATTCGGCCTACTCGCAAATCGTGAAACGTTTTTCTTTTCATGAAGATTATCGTGCCACGTTTTGTTTGGTACAGTCTGGCATCAGACGTGTGAAAAAACAGCGCATATTCAGCTACTGATGGGAATCCAGTCAAGAAGCGAGCGCTCAGCCTTGACACTTAGCGCAATCCCAACACCAGCAAGATCGCGAGCTTCGGATACCATTTGTATACCATTTATATATATATATCTTACACACCTGGTCGAACAACGATATGCCTTATTCGGTTGACGCAGGGGATTAATGCGATTTCACCGACATCATGGTGCTCTAATACCGTTAGTCTGAACTTATAATCCTCCTGTAAAGGTTGCACAACTTCACCGACTGTCTACTGCAGTATACACTCGATCCCTCATAGACAAACATAAGTAAAAATGATGTTAAAGTTACTTGAAAAAGATACTTAAAAACAGATAAAGCAGAGAGATTTCGTCTGATTTGTGAAAATTTCTGTACCCTTGGGGGGATTCGAACCCACAGGTGGACGCCGGCTATGCTTTCATACAGTGAACGTTGTTTTGGTTCACTTCCTCCGTTCTACAGACTTGTGTAACCTCCTGGGACTACTTCTGTCTTCACGTTCGGAACCATTTAAGAGTTTACCTGTCTAGTTAATGCAGTGTAACACTGGATTTCTCTTGTGAACCTCGTACTTTACAAAGCGAGTATCTGTTCTGCACTTAATTACTGTAGTGATGTGTGGATTGAATTTCATCTACTGCCTCAACTGTTCTAGGTTGGGGTTCAACTGAAGAATATTTGCATCATCATAGACCCGGAGCTAACAAGAAAATAGCAGCTTTTAGCTCACGATCCACATGAGCTCTTATAATTTTCACTTAAGTCTGAGAATAGACTGTGTACCAAAACAAATCACGGTACAACAATCTTTATGAAAAGCGAAAAGATCCATAATTTGTTAGGTACCGCCATACTGCAAGGTTGCCCAGACCTAAGATGAATTTTCTTGGGAATTCACAATCAGAATCTCTAGCGCATCAAAGCCTGGTAAGCAAGGCAGCTGGGCAGTGTGTGAAAAACGCAATCTATTGGGGCCTGGTGTCCAGCTCATCGGATCAATCGCTTACTGGACGGGATCAAGTGTCCGATATGCNGCCTAAAACACGAGTCGGTGATCCCTACCACGACTAGGAAGGTGTGCGCGTGGTTCGTACGCCTCTTATCATTTGGTTTGGGGTAGAGGGATGGTCAGCTCCTTTAGTTGAACTGCTAGTGGTTTAGTTTCAATTTGTACAATCAGTAACTATGCACTTTCGTGCGCCAGTTTTGGTTGCTGACTTTTAACTACCCATTTGGATGAACAGTAGGAAACAGGAAGGTTGAAAGTAGAATCGAAAAAAATGGAGAAGTGCAGTGAACTAAGGTTGCAAAGAAATTGAGAAGATGCAAGAACTCCATTGTTTATGACTCTCTCTCTCTCTTGCTGTCTCTAACCCTTGATTACGCTGGTCCCGAAGCCCAATCCAGTGTGATTCGCCTACCTCGACACGATCCGATCGAAAGCGAATTTCAGAAACTTCCCGCTACCTTGAGATCGAGCAACAGCTAGTCGAAAGCTCCGATTGTGAAACCCACAAAAATTTACCTCATTCACCAATCTGGCCATACTATTAACGGACCGAATACTGAATTCGTTGTGACTGAGTTGTTTGGCACATGACCCAGGCTCCTTGAATGCAATGAACGCATAAAAACACGTTAAAGATCAGTATTACTTAACATGGAAACACAATACAGTCGAACAACTAAGTGATGTAAGATAAATTATCGGAGAAATGAATCGTAATGTCTACGCTCAGGTTAGTTCAGTGGGCATAATGTTCCGCATCGTTATACTGACAAACTTCGGAACATGAATTCACAACAAAAAAGTAGCCAATTAAATATATGCCACTGAAATAAAATAAATTGCATATACCAATGAAAAATTCAGAAAGTAAAACAATCTGAGAGATGATGGACTTGCGAAACCTACGTACCGCTAGCAACAATTTGTACAGAGCATGAAAGCGATTTCTGGGAATGAAGTCAACGAACCTAGTGCTAAAGCGCCCGTTCAATGGCCTTGTGCGGCATCGAATAAAATCAGGGGAAAAAACAACCGAGAAACCTGGTGCGTCGCATCAAGGTCAGGTCAGGTCAGGCCAGTCAGTCAGGCCAGTCAGTCAGTCAGTCAGTCAGTTTGCACAAGACAGGAGATGGCCACGGCCAATCGAGCGTCCAGATTTCCTCCGGTAGTAAGCCCCGTTCCGTCCCCTACCACTGCGAGTGTTCTATATTGCAGTTCTACACGTTTTCTTCACGTCTCAGTTGTCTCCGTCTCTGCAAGGGAAGAGGGTAAAGAAAAAGTATCTTCTCCCCTTGTTCGGGCGAGAGACCTCACGTTCGGAAGCGTTCCCCGGATGAGGGAGGTTAGTACACGAAAAACCCACTCCTGTTTCCAGGTCATAACCTATGCGTCTATTTCGGGAAATAACGTCAGCCAGCGCTTATCGAGCTCCTTAAAAGTATATACGCTCCCTAGCTCTACCAGCTCCTGCGGCAACTTATTCCACACGTTGACTACCCTGTTGCTAAAAACGTTCGAAAGCACCGCTAGTGTCGTGCGCAATTTCTTCAGCTTGTACATATGCCCCCTAGTATTGCTTTGCATTCTCTCGAAGAACACCGCTTGCTCCGTCCCTGATAGTCCATTCATAATTTTGAATGTCTCGATCAAGTCACTCTCGGAGTCTTCTTCTTTCTAAGGTGAATAGTCCAAGATCCTGCAGTCTCTGCTTACACGACTTCCCCCGTTGTCCGTCGATCATCCTCGTGGCTAATCTTTGGACCCTTTCGAGACAATCCGCATCCCTTTTGAAG